CCGACCCCTGGGTACTGGTACCCGAGACTCGACCAAGTGAATTCCTCCTCTTCTTCTCAACCTGGGGTGCAAGGCACTCCGTGGCGGTGCGAGACGTAGCCAAGTTGTTTCGGAAGGTAAAATCATCGAAGCACAAATGAAGCTTGGACACGTCAGTACCACTTACTTTATGGAGGGGATCTTTGTATTTGCATGCGCAGTGTTTTTGCGCATCATGAGACTTGTGCCTTTAAAAAAAAATCTTTACATTAGGAATTACGAAAGCCCCTCTGTAAACATTGACATCAAAGAGTGCGTGACGCGATTTTCAAGAGTAGGCTGTTGCGTCCCAGGCACCATAGCCCCACATTGTAATTGTCAAAATAATTGCGACTCCAAATTTTAAAACAAAGATGAGTAATACATTTTAACTTTTTCGGGTACGGTGCTGTAATTACATTTATATTCTTACATCTTCTGTGCGAAAAAAAAGATCGCCGATCTTCACGGGGTTCTTGCCGAGTAAAAAAAAGGAAATTAAATTAAGTGTGTGCACGTGTGCTTTGTTGTGCGTTAAAAAGGGAGAGAGCGAGACAGCCTGGCTGTGTCACAGTCCGTGTGTGTGTGCGAGTGTGTGTGTGTGGGGGGGGAGCGGTAGTGTAGCGGACAGCGCGCTGCGCTACAAACCCGGCGACCCGAGTTCGATTCCCGCTCAGAACCTAGGTCGACTCAGTCTAAAATGAGTACCTGGTGCGGTGTGTAAACATCGCTACTAGGGAGACAAAGGTGGCCGGGTGTGGTGTTGGCCACCCACCCACTCGTGTGCCGTGCCGTCCTTCGTAGGTGCTCGCTAACAGCACTTGCCCCAACAGTCTGTTGAGGCTATACGGGGGGTTTTTGTGTGAGTGGGGAGCGGTGGTGTAGCGGTTAGCGCGCTGCGCTTTGAACCCGGCGCCTCGAGTTCCATTCCCGCTCACGGCCAACACCGGTGGCGATTATCTAAACCGGTTCTGGGCCTCCCCTAGGTCGACGCAGCCTCAAATAAGTACCTGGTGCGGTGTGTAAACATCATCACTAGGGAGATAAAGGCGGCCGGGCGTGGTGCTGCTTACCCACCCCCTCGTGTGCCGTGCTGGTCTTCATAGGTGCCCGCTAACAGCACTTGCCCCAGCAGTCTGTTCAGGCTTCACGGGGGGGGGGGGGGACCTTTGTCTTTGTGTGTGCGCGTGCGCGTGTGTGTGCATGCGCGCGTGCCCCCGCATGTGCGTGCGCGTGTGCGTGCAATTGTGTGCGCGCGAGACGGGGGGGGGGGGGGGGGGGAGTGTGTGCGTGCGCTTGCATGCGCACACACGCACAGGCGAGACACCAATGGGTCGCTGAAAGGAGTAGAAACACCCCCCCCCCCCCCACACCTCCTCCTTCAACCCACCCCATGAAATAAAGACAAGAAAACATGCACCCAGGCGCTAACGACATGTGTATGGTTCTATATGATGCCGCATACTGTGCCATTGGCGAGACCTTAATTTATGAATCCCGGCAATTCAGGCAGAACCTCGCACCGGTCCAAGTGCCCCTTTCTGGCATTTGTGATGGCAGGCGCTCTGCAGCGCGCACTTGGACGAGTTCACAGAATGAAAGGGCGGGGTGAAAAGAAAAAATGAGAGATATAACAATTTACAATATAAACACAGGAATAGTGTTGTTATATATTCGGTTTTTAAGCGACGTAGCGATACGTAACTTTTAGGTCTCCCGAGTATTTTTTGACCGTGGGTCTTTTGAAGATATATATTAAAAAAATCTCAAACAGGTGGCCTTTGCCGTTCGACGCCTTTCTAAAAGAAAATTTGAGGTTTTATTTGGGTTCTTTGTGTGCGCCCGTTGTTTGGGTGGGCGGATGGAGCGCCGTTCTGGATCACAATGTGTTATGTCCGTGCGTGTATAGGTGTACATCTCGCGCAGCGCTTTATCCACCGGCAGATGTCGGCCAAGCCTACGCCGATGCGTTCTTCGGGTTATCATATTTAGTGGAGCAGTTTTGACGCAGAGATAACACACTGGTTTGGGTATTTCAACAACCTTTTTGAGTTGTTTCTACGCATGTGAATGGAAAGTGCAGCACAAGGAGAAAAGCCACAGCGTTTGAGAGGATAACACTAAACAATTCTGCATAGGTAGGGCAGCCTACTTTCTGCACTCCCTCACCTTATAACCGTTTGTGGTTTCCACTTGAATTTGTTGGCTCCATCTATGTGTGATCCACCAACCCCAACATCCAAAGCACAGTATCGCAGGCATTCAGCCCCACACCTTGCCAAATGTTTGTACATATTGCGGTATGAATATAATCGTCTTCCGTTTTCTGTCCGCTGCTGGCTGAAAGCCTCCCCGTGCTGTCACTGTCCTTTTGACGGCCCGCGTGAACTTCACAAACATCAGGCACACGAAGTGCGTAAAGACTACACCTGTATTCGAACGGATGCGTTGCATTTTGGATTTTTGTTTTCAATAATCGTCAAGTTGTGATCGCATCTCAAGACACGGTACAAATGGAACTGCTTTTTTAATTTGTTCGCCCGCACCTCCGATCAGCATGGCTGGCTATGTACGGCGCGAAAGAAGTTCAACATACACACATTGCCCCAATGGTTAGTTAAAGGGTATATTGGGGGGAACATTGTCGTTGTAAGCCACTTCGCCATCCATGCACGACGCCACCAGCACCAAGTGGTATCAGGGCTGTATCGTAATGGCTGGAGCGGTCTCATATCCAACATTGGTTTGCTGCTGGCGATGCTTACACACCGCACCAGTTACTCATTTGTGTTTGAGTCGACCTAGGGGAGGCCCAGGACCGGTTTAGATAATCGTTACCAATGTTGGCCGTGAGCTAACCACTCCAACCGCGCTCCCAACGTGTGTGTGTGTTCGTGCACGCGTGCGTGGGGAGCGGTAGTGTATGAATGTACGTGTAGCGGTTAGCGCGCTGTGTACATGCATACAAACGGGGGGGGGGGGGGGGCCGTGCCAATGTAGAGATCTCTTTTTTTTGTAACAAGATCAGGGAATCAAGCGTAGACCACAGATGAGGGAATTGCGATGCCACTTTAATAGAGGTGTTCTTCAGTGCAAGGCCCGGAGGCCACTGGCGGCCCCTGATGGCCTTTAGTGCGGCCCCAGACAATACACAAATGTGAAAATACCCCCCCCCCCCCCCCCCATTATCGTGCTGTCAAACCCAATGCTTACAAATGTGTAGCGGTCCTCACACTGATGATGTCTTGTCGGCGAAAGTGGGCCCCCTCTAAAAATTAGTGAAGAACACCACCCTGGGTAATCTCCCGTCGTAGCAGTGAAGCAACTGGGCCAAGCTTCTTAAACTCCCCCAAACCCTGTCCAGCCGGTGGCGCAGATGGGTACACCGCAGTCGCTTGGCAGGTTCACGTGTGGTGGGGTGAAGTATGGGTGCTCCCACTGTTTTCAAGACGTTTGGCCAGCCTGGAAGAGAAGGCCAAAATACGCCGGAGATGGACGATATAAGGCTCCCTCTTGTGGAAGGCCCTCCTACGTGCAGTGGCATTGGGCAAGCAACCGCAGATACTTCTGGCAGAAAGACAGTCGTATGCTGAAGAAAAGAGCAAAGTCTAGAGCCTTTGGTTAATTCGAAAAAACGTATCATGTTGGGTTGTGAGGAATGGAGTTTGGGACAACCCTGCATTATGTGTAATGGGAAACTACTGAAACTCTATGCCAGTATAACAAAGTGAAAAAAAAACCATATGAATAATAAAGTGGTCCATAATAGCGATTGTTTTGGGTTAGATTGCATAAATATAAATGTGTAATTAAACCCGCCACCACCCTACCTACACAGCCAATTCGTAAGGTTTGCCACGTAAACAAAACATGTAAACTAATTACTAGTTTAGCATACACCGGTGTGTTGGAGAGTAAACCCACACAACATTTACAATTTCTAGTGCGACGTTTCTCGCCGGTGATTACAACCAGCCTCATCAGGCGACAGGCAGAATTGTGGTCCGTGGCGCAGAATTTGCGATCCGTTGCTTGTCAGGTGTGTCCAGCGAGAGCTGAATTTAAGGGGGAGAATGGATTACGTCGTTGTGTGCACCTGCTGTGAGGACTTTGCAAATCGTGTAGTGGATCGATTTGCCTCTGCCCAACCGCAGCCAGGGAACCGCGTCACATGCCTGCTACGTGGACGTGTAACTGGGGATGCGTGCGAGGTGCCTTATGGTTGCGCTTGGCCGGGAGCGCTGTCAAATGGACTCTCTTGGGATATATGACAGCGGTCGTTCTCAGAGAGCGGTCCCCGGTACCACCTCCAGGTGATCCGTGGTGGCTGCGATGCAAACGCAGGTTGATCCGGACAATAATGACAACGTTTATTGTACGTTTTGTTTCGGACGTTATTTCATATTTGACTTATCATATTTGATAATAATTTTTTAAAAATACGAATTTCGGTACACTACCCTGATTGAACTACCCTAACCCTAGGATCTAAATGCCACCACTTAAAATTTGTATAATTGAAGCTGCGTTAAAAATATTTTTTTTATGTTTCGGTAGTATGAATCATTTTTGTATTGCTGGTATTTAGAGAGAGAAGCGAAGGCGTTCTGTCACCAGGGATGTGGGGGGCTGGGTGGTCCACGGAAATGTTTGATTGAATAAACTTGCCCCCCACCCCCGTAGTTTCAGCTGCCACGCCGGGAGATAGAGATGAAGCGGAGGCCTCTGCATCGCAAGTCCAGTAGTGCTGCTCACCATCGTACCACCTTGGCAGTGTCCTCCCCTTGATTGATATAATCAGTCTTGGAATTTGATTGGATATCAGAATATTTGTTTATATTGGAGGAATCCAACGAGCTATACAGCTCTTTTTTCACAGATGTCCAGGAGAATATAATAATAAAATTGGAATGTAATTGAGGGAGATACATTTTTTTCACGATTATGTATGTATGTTGAACTTCTTTTCGCACCGTACGTAGGCAACCGCACTCATCGGAGGTGATTAAGTTAATGCGCACCAAACGCAACCATTTTCCATCACGAAGCAACGCCGAAACGCGAAACTTTGCGAGCGTGGCCTGCGACCGATGGCGTAACCTTGGACTCAGAAGCTGGCGCACCGCTGAGCTGTGAGGAAAAGAAAACAACCGATTCATGACCCCTCTATTTATTGAAAGAATAACTCTTCCAAACCCCCAACACCCCCATCGCCTTCCCCTGAACCCTCTCCACCCCCTCCTCCCCTCGCCACCACTCCCTCGCGGCTCGCTCACTCCCTTGTTTTGTTTTTTCATTCCCCCCCCCGCCCGCAACTCAAGGAGCCACATCTGGGCTCGGAGGCGAGAAGTTTGGCCATCAATCATCCTGTCCCCGGACGCGTATCGGAGAGCCTCCCTCTCTCACTATGAGCACCCAGGAGGTGATGGTGGCTGCCCTGAGGGCATGTCTGCAGGAGTTGGGGGCATTGCGAGACGGAGATGCCACTGTCCCCGTGGGGGCGGCGCTACCTCACGGTGAGACACGTGCAAAGAGCGCCTTTGAAATGAGCAGCGGCTCTTCCCGGTCGCTGTGATTCGTCGCCGCGGCTTTCATCATTTTGTATTGTTGTTGTTGTGAGATCGCAGTGCGTAAATTAACCATTGAGGATCCATTGGGATGTACGGATGAAATCCCCCTTACATATGTAAATTGTTATTATTATCATCAGAGAGAATATAAGTAACTCGGTAAATACGCAGATGTGACGCCTCATTCTCACTCATATTTTCTCTCTGCGTATACATTTTTTCTTTTTTTACACATCCCATGATACCCGCAGCTCCTTGGCGGAGTGAATATTTCCAGCAGCATTGGATTAAGTCAAGTAAACCCAGGACCGCCTTAGACATTCAGTGTCTCACCAGCAGAGCTGGGCTCGCGAAATCTAATACCGGTGAACCAATAGATGAATGTGTTCCTTCGTTAGTGTTGTCTGCCGTTTGGATGGTTGGTGACCAAAAAAGCTTTTATTTGCCTCTCCCCCCTGGGATATCGCTGTAATTTTCCGAAGCACCTGCTGTCCAGTCCTTTCTTTGGTATTCGCTAAGCGAAAGAGAGAGAGAGATATACATCCTTTATTTAAAACTGGGGGAGAGCCCACAGAGACACAGATGTCTCTTTTTCCCAAGGAACACATGGGTGAAGGATAATTACAGCACACGGCTGAAAACAAAGTGGGATCAAATTCAAAACAAATGCGAAATAATAAAACACAAGTTAACGTCCGGTAAATAACAGATGTATAAAGAACCGGTGTAGAATGTGGACAGATCGTATGAAATGAAGGCAAATGGTCACAACAACAAAAAAAGGCAATTAATTTTTAAATCAAGGCGATGCGAAAGGCAATTTGGAGAGGAAATACAACAGAAGTGGTAGATACGGTTTTAATTTAAACACGGAATCAATTTGAGATTTGGTTGTACTTTAAAGTGATGTTTGCCTTCAAAACAGGGAAAACAAGGAGCGCCCTGATAGACAATTTACGTGCGGGTGAACGGACGCGGCCAGGGGTGACCGAATAGCGTGAGCGCGTCAAGACGTCTTCTCTGTACAAGCCCTCCGAGAGCAGAGCAAGCCCTCTGAGAGTGAGAGCAACCCCTGAACGATTGGTTCCAATTCCGCTTTCCTGTGGCAGGGGCCAGTCTTACAAATCGGAAAGCCCGCTGGTGACTTCCCACAATAAAAAAAAAAGTGGCGGGCGTTTTGTTGACCCCGCAGAAATGATGGACCGAGTTGAAACCACCCCCCCGATGAACATCTGAACTCGTAACCCTTGTCAGTACGAGTCGCGTGTCGTGTGAGTTCTTCACCATCTGGATGGGAATGAATAAATGATGAACCTCGCTTCGGAGGAGTGGGCGCTGCAGCAGCAGGCTCGGCTTGCAGTCAGAAAAGGTGCTGAGTTCAAATGCCAATCGAGGGGTCAACCAATCACGCGATCTCTCCCGTGTTTTATAAAAATGAGTGCATTTCGCTTTGTTGGATGTTAGTAGTGGTTGTCCTGTAGGTGACATGCCCCCGCACCCCCCCCCCCCCCCTTGCCATTGGAATGTGGAATTTCCACCAGTGGCTTGGAACGGCCACGGTAGATGATCAACGCCCAATAATCAATTAAAACTAGGAGACGAATTGGTGTCTGGGTCAATTAACCCCCATGACCCGCACGGCGTGTGGAGGCCCTCATTCCGAATCATTAGAATCACACGTGACAAAGAGTCGTGCATGTGTGTATCACAGCCCATCGACGTGATAGCACAATTATCTAAACGACTGTTGCGCAGTCTCTGGCGTATTTGATCACCTTTGTTCAATTAATTATCTTGATCCGGACCATCGGCGCGTGGCTGCGTACGTCCGACGACAGCGCACGTTGAACGTTGGTACAGCACGCGTCCGCGCACGTGTCCGCACATACGTACGTACGTACACACGCGCGGGCACGTGGGCGAGCGCGCGCGCGAGCTCACCGGAGGAAATTGTGACATGTCAGCAGAATGCGCTGGAAGGGATTTTGCCCGGTGATGAATGGGTGCCTGCTGTGTAGGACTTGATTAAGCAAGATTGCCGGTAATGATAGTGCGGCCGTGGCGCGCGTACGCCAGTGCATGCACTCGGAGCGGTGTTGATGCGATCTTCTATAAACAGCGCGGACAGGAAGGGCAACAACCGACGGAAATGCCTCGGACCGTCCAACCGTGCGGCTGCCGCGTGTTTACAGTTGCTGTGCGCGTATGTGTGCACGCGCGCGTATGTGTGAGAGACACACGCGTGTCAATCAGATGACCCATAACACCCGGGCCAGTTCCCGTGACCTTTCTCCTGCCCGTGTTGAGCTGCTCCACACTTCACGCGGCCTCCAAGTGCACCTAGGCTGGCGCAGGCGCTGTCGTAACGTCAACGCCACTTTCTTTTCTTGAACACAGTTGCTGAGCACAGATACAAAGACCCGACTTGTCAGGTGGCTCGCAACAATCAGCAACACAAGTGGTCACCAAAAAACTTACTGGAGAACAGCGGGTGTTGTTGTTATTGTTTGTATTTGTGTGTGTTTGAACACCGGTGTGTATCTGCATTTGTGTATGTGTGTATGTGTCCGTGAAAGATCTCGACATTGTCCCATCGGTGAGCTCCTCTGGCAGGCGAGGCTGTGTTGGCTGCGTCATGTAGCCCGCATGCCCAGCCATCACATGTCCAATGATCCTCTGTTTGGCCGAATAGAGAGGGCTAAATGGACATGGCACCTGCTAGAGAGACTGATCTAGTACAGGTTGACGTGGAGCTTAGTGGACTTGCCAACGACTGGCACCAACAATATCAAGATCGACCTCTGTGGAGGAGGCTCGTGAAGGACGCTACTGGGCAGTTGGAAGCATTTGCCCTCCAACAACAACGGGGGGCAGAGGGGCGAAGCTCACAACAACAAGCGGAGTGCCAGGTGGTTAAAACGAAGCAAGTTGTCACGGTAGGGAGTACAGGTGGTGCATCTGCTCGTCATTTCCGTCAAGACAACCCATGGCACCTGGGTCTGTTCCGTGACCTGTTAGCGAGCGTTCGACACTTTACGTGGCCTTAAAGTGTACATAGCCTGGCACAAGCGCCGTGGTGATGTTACCGCCACTTAGTGGCGAATGGCAGTTGTTGTGTTATTGTGTATGTGAGAAGTGATGGCATAATGGTCAGCACACTGCACTATACATACAGTTAACATTAGTGCCAAATGACATATGAACCAGTCTTGCACATCAACTTGATTGACTCGGCCTGAAATGAGCACCTTGGTGTGGTGTATAAACATTAGCACTACGGAGACAAATATGGCCGGGCGTAGCACTGGCCAAACCGCTCCTTTGCGATCTACGCTGCTCTAATAGGTTCTTGCTAACAAGCTCTTTCCCCAATAGTCTAACCATATTATCTGTGTCTTTAGTGTGTCTACGTATATGTGTGGGCAACGGCGCAGTAGTTAGCGCACCGCACGACGATTCAGTCGATCCGAAGTTCCAATTCCCGGTTATAATTCGCGGCACTTTTTGCCTTTGCTGTCTCGGCCTGGCCTGGGCCTCCCGGAGGTTGACTTAGCCTAAAGTGAATACCTGGTGCAGCGTTGTGATCAAAACCATTGGCCGGGCGTGGCGCTGACCACACCGGCACGATGCCTACCCACACACACACGTGTCTGCTGTGTGCGGTGGCGGGCGCCCATCCCAAGCACGATCCATTTGCTCGGATCAAAAGTGTGCCGGTCATATCTGGATTCGAATTTTATCGCCCATCCGTTTTTGCCGAGTTGACAGTACCATTGTCGACGCAGCTTAAGGTGACGTGAAAACGTGGGGCGACCGTTTTCCACGCAACCATATATGGACCCATATAGTAAAACCACTGTTGTCTGTGTATGTATGTTGAACTTCTTTCGCACCGTACGTAGCCAACCGTGTTAATTGGAGGTGTCGGGGAAGGATAACAAACTCACTCCTTCAACAGAGGAGCATGAACAAAACGCCACGAACTCTCTCCGGAAGCCCTCTTGTGACGAGCAGATCTTAACATTGGCATTCAGCTCCTGAACATAATGCCACACGCAAGCATATATCCAAAGAGTGCTCGTATCAGAAGTGTACTTGTGTCCGAAATTTGTTTGTATCAGATGTGTACTTGTAACAGATGTGTAACTGTATCAGGGGTGTACTTGCATAATAAGTTAAGTATTTCTAGCTGACGTGTCTTTATAACCGAAGTGTGTTTATATCAGAAGTATAAATTAGTGTTATATAATCTCCACGTATATATGTGTATACGTATTTGAGTAGATGGGGGGCATTTATGTCGTAAGTATGTGCAAGTATCTACGAGTGCATGTATCATTTAATTATAAATGCACGTGTATGTGTGTCCGTGTGTATGTATGTTGTGGCGAGCGGACGTGTGGTGGTTATTGCACTGCGCTACGAACCCGGCGACCAGAGTTCGATTCCCGCTCACGGCCAACACCGCTGACAATTATCCGAACCGGTCCTGGGCCTCCCCTTGGTCGACTCAGCCTCAAATGAGTATCTGGTGCGATGTGTGTAAACATCGCCGCGTGGGAGACAAAAGCGGCCGGGCGTGTGCCTTGCCAGCCGTCGTATGTGCAACTCGCTGACAGCACCTGTCCCAACAGTCTATGCGGGGGAATCTTCGGCTTTGTGTCTGTGTGTGGGGGTTGACGTAGGCAGCGACGAGCCCTTGTCCGAGGAGCTGGTGGCGCTGCTGCAAGACGCTCGGGACATGAAGTGGCCCTTCGTGCCCGAGCGCTGGCAGTACGTGAACCCAGCGCGGCACGAGGACACGCGAGACCTCAAGGACATCCTGGCCGGGCAGCTGCCGCAGCTGCTGGTGAGTCCACTACTCAGGTCTACGTCGCAGTCCGGCCTGCGCGCCATTGCATTGGTTCGACGCGGTAAACTTCGGGATGGCAGGGTGGAGAGATGGAAGAGGAGGCCAAAGTACCCTGCAGAGGTGCCTCTCTAGAGCCCCCTCTGGTGGAGGCCCCTTTCTGCCAGCAGTGGCGTGAGCAAGCAATTGCAGTGCTGCCCCTTAACCTCCTCACATTGTGTTACCGCTGTCCCCTGAGCGGGGTAGACGCGTTGATGTTGACCGGGGCGCCACGGTGGCGAGATGTTAACTACCTCGCCTGGTGTACAGCAAGTCGTGGGTTTTCCTCCAGGTCCTCCGGTTTTTCCCTCCACATTTATAAATGTGCGTTTAGAGTATTTGGCTGCTATACATTTCCACATGATAAGCCACTTCGTTGAGATATAATTTGTGTGGCCAGGTCGCTTCTGAAAAATAACTATATACCTCAGTGCGCCTTATTTGGTAAAATAAATAAAATTGTTTAGTTTACAGTATAGTTTAACTACTGTGGCCAGTCTTCTTTGTTCTTCTTTGGTTCTTTCGGTAAAGTCACGTAGAATGAGAATAAAATAATAAAATAAAACAATAAAATTCTCACGACGTTTCAGCCACAACACAAGTGGTCTTCAGAATGATCTTAAGGTTGTGTGGAATCCCTCCCCGTAGAGGCGGTTAAATTTCGACTTAAAGCTTTCGTGACTGCAAGGATTCATCTTCTTTGGTTCTTTCGGTAAAGTCACACAACCTTAAGATCATTCTGAAGAAGACCACTTGTGTTGTGGCCGAAACGTCGTGAGAATTTTTTTGTTTTATTTTATTATTTTATTCTCATTCAACGTGACTTTACCGAAAGAACCAAAGAAGATGAATCCTTGCAGTCACGAAAGTTTTAAATCGAAATTTTACTGTGGCCAGTTTTGAATCGTTGGCTTGGGCGCCTCTCTGGAGTTTGTAAATGCGTTTCTGTTGCCGTCTGGAACGCTCTTCCTTCCGATATTAGGAAGCCACTGGAGCAATGCACTTTCAAATAATCTAGATTGAAAACTCGTTTCTGTATAGCGTGCTTTTTGTATTTATTTTGTCGTCCTTCCTCCGTGCCTCCGATTAGCATGGGTGGCCACGTACGGTGCGAAAGAAGTTCAACATACATACATATGTGTTCCTTGCCCCTGTTCTGCATGAGTTCCTACCGAGTTCGATTCCAATGCCACGGCCAACACCCATTGACGAATATCTGAACCGGTCCTGGGCCTCCCCTAGGTCGACTTAGCCTCCAATGAGTACCTGGTGCGATGTCTAAACATCACCACTGGGGAGACAAAGGTGGTCAGGTGCGGTTCTGGCCACCCCACCCCTTGTGTGCCGTGCCGGCCTTTATAGGTCTTCGCGAACTGCACTTGCCCCAAAAGTCTGTTAAGGCTACATGAGGGATCTTTGTTTTTGTGCACTTTCATAATTTGGGCACAGTGCATCTGCCAGTCATCTCAGTCAATCCATGGCACCACCTGGGTCTGACCCGTGACCTCCTCCTGCCAGCGGAGAGATCCTTGGACACCTCGCGTGGCCTCAAAGTGCACCTAGCCTGGCACGGGCGCCGCGGTGACATCACCGCCACTTAGTGGCGAGTGGCGGCTGTCGCCGTTGTCGCTGCTGTTTCTTAATTGACGAAAGGCAGTGAATGGGATGCGCCTTCTGCAGAACCACGCCGAGTTTATTTTCCTGTCTCTCGTTTCCTCCGACCGTTTCATCCCCACCCCCCCCATCTCCCTGCATTATAAATGTCTTCCCCACTCGCGTATTACCTCTACCTGTGCCCCACGCACCCTCATTAAAGCGTCCCAGGTGCGCCGCTCTTTAAGAGAATTAAAGAAAAAAAACACCCGGAGAGGCGCACCGGGGGATAAGAGTGGGCAGAGCCCAACTTAACAAGCGACGCAATTAAGGCGTGGGACGCAACGATTTGCCACACACACACACACAGAGGTTACCCCACGCACTCACGCAAGGTGTGCAAGATTGCCGCTTGTCGGAGTGAAAAGGCTTTTTATCCCGCCCGCCTCCTCCTCCTCCTCCTCCCCACCACCCACCGCACCTTTCGTAATTACAACGCCAGCAAGCACGATGGGCGTTGCTGATGGTGGTGGTGGGGGAGGGCCCCCCCACCTCAGCCTGGGCCCACACGGGAGAGAGACGAGAGGGCGGCTCGCTGCCTCTTGTGCTTCATCAGTGTTGTTCTTGTTCTGCCCGTCGGGGGGGGGGGCAGGGGAGGCGGGGGGTGGGTTTTCGGCCCTGCGTTTGGCTCGGGTGTCGTGGAAGGGTTTTTTGTTGTTAAACCACAGACGCTCGTTGGAGTCTGCGCCTCTCGGGAGAGAGCGCGCACGGCGGTGGGGTGGAGGAGGATGATGGGAGAGGAAATGATGATAGTGATTATGGGGGAGGTCAGCTTGGAAATTAGCACAGGGCGGCCGTGCTGCTTTTACCCCCGGACGATTTTTCTCGATGCGCTGCTTCGAATTCTGTATGGGGGGGTGGGGGCCTTGATGTGGCTGAATGAGTTGTTAGCATGTCTGGTGCACGCTGAGGATCCAATATACGACTTAGTTTGGCAGTTTGGGACCTTTCCTTTCAGCATGTCAATTGAGCCCTGAGAATCATAAACATGCCCTTAGTTTTGCTGTTGGAACCATAGTATTATTAATTAGATGATTCGTTAATTAGTATCATTTCTAATGCTCGCGATGTTTGCATTCTATCATGCGTGTAAAATGTATATATGTTTATAGATTATGAGTTGTTCATAGAACACTGCAAACCAGCATTTCTATTTTTTAGTCAGAGAGATGTGCCCTGTCATAGTAATGTGGAATTGTCACCGCTGGCCGAGGGGCTGCACATTGATATGGCCGCCGCCCCAAAGTCATTTGAACAGAGGGATGCTTTTACTCTTGGTTTTATTAAATCAGTTGCGTCAAATTACCAGGTTAAGTCGGGACGTCTCTATGAAATTAACACAGTATTGAGTAAAAGTGAATTTTGATCAGTGCAATACATCACTTTGAAAGTATTTACAAGTGAGACTTCTGAAAAAAAAGTATCAACGTTCAAAGCGTACCCCTGCTCACGCTGAGTTTAAGGCAGTGCCTGAGCCGGTGGTGGAAATTCCACATTCCTATGGCAGTGTACATTTGCTACGTATGTGCACCTTTGACTTACCTCGAAGTGGTACCTATTTTATTAATTTACGAACCTCCCCCCCTGCCGCCCTGCCCCATAGAGGTGTTGGGCTTAAGTCGACCTGCAAACCGGAATTTAAACTCACAAACCTCCCAATTGTGAGTCAAGCACCCTAACACAAAGCCGCCCGGGCTGTATAAAGGATACGAGTGGCTTACTGCCCCATTCATATGATGGCTCAGTAGTCAGAGCACTGAGCTGGCACGGCTAATGTCCTCTATTCAAATCTGTGTTTCAGCCACCTGTGATTCAACCAGGTTCTCGAGTGTTGAGGATTTCAGTCTGGTCATCAATGACTGCACACGCACACAAACCACATTTGAATTCGCCTAAATAGCACCAATGAGAATTATGTTTTTATTGGTTTGATTACAGTTGCGATCGGAATGCAGGAAAGTACACCCCCCCACCCTCCGCCACCCCCGTAGTTTGTGGATACAAAAATAAGTGAAATGAAAAAGATGACAGTAGTTCTATGATATCTGCTTCTACGGGGCATCCTCTAAGACGCGGTGGTTCACACAATTGAGATTTCCGAACGGAAGCTGCATCTCGGGGCGTGATGCCGAAAGCACGTCCGCGAACACGAGCAGCAGTCGACACGTGGCACGGTTCAAATCACATTTTAGAAAAAGCCAACGGAAGGTGGAAACAAGTACGAGGCCCGACTCAAATAAAACAACAAAAAATCCGCAGCAACGCTTCTTCTCCTCCTCCTCCTCTACTACGAGCAGAGAAGAGGAAGAAGAATAAGTCGAAGTTTGTTGACGGGACCTGCGTCCGTTCACTGCGAGCTCTGGATTCGCCCATCCGTGCCGCTGCGTACGACACGCGATGTAATTGCAGATGGAGATGCAGATTGTGCTGTCATGCGCGGGAGAGTGGCGGTGCACCGGGCGGTGAACAGTCGAACTCTTGTGTGTGTGTGCGCGTGCGCGTGAGTCGGGGGATCTTAAACGCGTGCGCTCGAGGGGGTACCTTTAGGGTCGTTAGATCAGTGGGATTATATAAGAAGGGTGACGGCAGAGGGCAGGGGAGGTGGGGGCAAGGTTGGTCAGAGCACACCTGTTGCATACATACACCCGCGCGTGTCTGTGTGTGCGCGTGTGTGAGTCTGCGCGTGTGTGAGAGTGTGTGTGTGTGAGAGTGTGTGTATAAGTGTGTGTCTGTGTGTGTCTGTGTGTGCGGGGAGCGGTGGTGTAGCGGTTAGCGCTGCGCTGCGCTACAAACCCCGCGACCCGAGTTCCATTCCCCGCTCACGGCCAACACCGGTGACGATTATCTGAACTGGTCCTGGGCCTCCACTAGGTAGACTCAGACTCAAATGAGTACCTGGTGCGTTGTGTAAACAACATCAGCACTGGGGAGACAAAGGCGGCCGGGCGTAGTGCTGCCCACCCACTTTTTCGTGTGCCGTGCCGGCCTTCATAGGTGCACACACTCACACATGCTGGAGTGGTTAGCTCACGACCAATATCGTTGACGATTATCTGAATCTGTCCTGGGACTCCCCTAGGTTGACTTTTTGGCTGTGTCGGGTGGTGGCGAGTTGACGACACATTTATTTGTACGTGCTCTCACCCAAAGAAAAACCTTTTTCATGGACAACGATCCCCTGTATAGCATTTTAACTCACTGTTGGGGCAGATGCTGTTAGCGAGCAACCAAGGGGATGGGTGACCACACCACTCCCAAACGCCTTTGTCTCCCCGGTGCTGATGTTTACACACTGCACCAGGTGCTCT